CCCTTCTTGCAAGTAGGTAGTTTGATATACTCTGATATTTATCTTATACTGGATACTTAGAGCCCACTCCCTGAAGTCATAACTAGGTAGAGTAGGTGATATGATGACCTGGAGGCATTCAGCAACCAGGAGTGAAGAGTACCGCTGGTCAGAGGGTGGGTAGGAAGGGAGTATCATTTCTTGATACTATTTGAGGGTTCCTCTGTTGTGACCGCAAGTGGAAGGCTCTGAAGTTAGAGGACCTGGGTTTGAAATCTAACTTGGTCACTTAATACCTATGAGACCTTGGTTGAATCACTTAACCTCAGGGGACCACAATGCCCCATCTGCAAAATGAAATACTAGCTGACCTCTGAGGCCTCTTCTAGTCCCACATTTATGACGCTATGACCTATTTTAGAGATCTACACCTTGTTTAATCTCCTGGTTGCTTCATAAACAATGACACCCTGAACCCTGAATACTAGTAGAACAGTGACATTTTTTTATTACCTTAATCTTTAAGTAGCCTGGCAAAGTGGATAGAGTGCCAGACCAGGGGTCCGGGAGACCTGTGCCAAAAATCTTGCCTCTTATACTTAATTAGCTGTATGACCTTGGGCAAGTCACCTAACCCCTATTGGCTTTAGTTTCTTCAAATGTAAAGTGAACTGGTTGAACCTGAGAGCCATCTATCCAGAACTCTTCCAGAGTTAAATCTATGATCTTCTGTTGTGGTTTAGTTGTTTCAGTCATGTCTGACTCTGTGACCCCATTTGGGGTTTTCTTGGCAAAGATGCTGGAGTGGTTTGCCATTTCCTTCTCCAGATGATCCTCTGACCTGAGTTCAAATTGGTGCACTTAGATGGGTCGGTTAACACTTCTATGTCTCAGTTTTCCCATACTCTATTTTCTTTTCAGAAATCATCATTCCTCAATTCAACAAATATCTGATTGTCTTCTATTTGCAAGGCTCAGGGGGTAGGTGTTGAGGAGGATGCCATAAGTCAATGGTCTGTGGCTTCACTGTCAGTGTGGGAACTCCTTACACCAAAGCAGATCAGGTTGCAATCCTTTCTTTTAGAGAAGTCTTAGGGGGCCCAGGAACTGGAAGGGAGTTGTTCAGAATTACACAATTAGTCAGTGTCAGGGTCTGGATTTGAACCCAGGTCTTCCTGGCCCTCCTGATACTCCATCTGCTTCCCTCTGCACAGGATACACACATATATCCTTACCCTCAGAGATGTTCATGCTAACAGGGAGAGAATTCTATTTCAAGCCTGGATATTTTATTTGTGCAGGGAGTAGCAATGTGATGTAGTGGGAAGAGCTTTAAAGTCCAACTCTCTTCATTTTAGAGATGGGGAAATTGAGGCCCAGACAGGTTAACTGATTTGTCCAAGGTGACATGGGTAGTATATGGCAAAGCTGGAATTGGACCCCAGGTTCTCTTGTTTTCTTTTCTTTTTTTTTTTTTGGAGGGGGCAAGGCAATCAGGGTTAAATGACCTGCCCAGGGTCACACAGCTAGTAAGTATTTGAACTCAGGTCCTCCTGACTACAGGGCCTATCTCTATTCACTGCACCACCTAGCTGCCCCTTCCCAAGTTTTCTTTACAAAGCCTTAGGCGCTGGTCCTGTGCCACAGCTGTGTGACTTGGTAATTAATCAATCAATCAATCAGCATTTATTAAGTGTCTACTATATACTAGGTACTGAGGCTACAAAGATAGGGATGAAATGATATTTGCTCTTAAGGAGCTAACATTCTGATAGGAGAGACAAGCTCTTTTGTATGATAGAATAGATACAAATAGAAAAAAGTTTAAGAAGGAAGGGCAGTAGCAGCTGGGGAGATCAAAAAAAGATTTCAAGTTGAAGATGGTGCTCCTTGAGGGCAGGAACTGTCTTTTGCCTCTTTTTGGATGCCCAGTGCTTTGCACAGTGCCTGGCACATAACAGGTACTCAACAAATGTTTATTAATTTAGTGACTGGAAATCATATTCTATGAGGTGGAGGTGAGGAGGAAATGCATTTCAGGCATGTGGGATAGCCAGTGCAAAATTTGCTTGGAGGCTAGAGATGAAGTGCTCTGTGTGAGAAACATTTAGAAGATCAGTTTGGCAGGGTGGAAGAGCATGGAGAGAGGAGGCTGGGGTTAGGTTATGTAGGGCTTTAAAAGTTAAAGCAAATGTGCACACAGCTTCCATATCAGTGCTAAGTCCTTCAGTAAAATGAATAGTTAGCTACCCCTTAATTTATCTTTTGCACACTAATTTTTTGTAGATTTATAGGTGGCAGAGGCTCCAGAGACACTGTAGTCTATCTCTCTCTCTCTCCTCCCCCCCATTTTATAGATTAGAAAATTGAGGCCGAGGTGTAAAGTACTTGGGCAACGTCACATAGATCCTAACAAAGCTAGGATTTTAACCCAACTCCTTTGACTTGATTTGACTTTGACCTTGTTCTCTTTACCTTCTCCCCCAACTCCCTCCTCCCTCAAGAATCCCACAAGGCTAGTCAGGTTTGATTAAAGTAGGGAATACCAGAACACACAGTTGGGGTGGGGGTGGGAGGAAAACAGATGCGTGCTGAAGAGAGCCTTTTCTATGCTCCCAGGTGGGTTCTGTCTGCCAAGGGAACGAATGTCAGCATTTGACTAAGAACATGCTGCCTTTCTTCCACCACCTTCTGTCACAATGACACCTGTAAAGCCTGGGACCTAGCTCATTTGTTGATTCGATTTATAAAGCCAAGTTCCTCCAAACTCCTTCCTTCCCCTCCATTTCCCCCCGACCCCCCAACGTTCCTCAATAATCACAGTGTACCAAACCTGGCCAAAAAGAGGAGAGGGTAAATTCCAGCCCAAATTAAATCTAGGATATTGTCTCAAGGAAGATTTGTGCTGCAGGGCTGTTGGGAGGGTAACATTCACTAGAAGGGAGACCCTAATTCCTAGGCAAAGGAGGAACAGGTGTGCCACCCATCACGGGCCACAAATGAGACATGGTGGTGGGGTGGGGTGGGGAGGAGGACGGGAAAAGGCATCAGCTTGAAAAGAGACACAGAAATACTGCAGTCACTTTGCAAGACATCCCTTTTCCATTGTTCCTTTCCCCACAATAAAGTCAAGCCTTCCTTACATCAATTCTCTCCCCATTTTCCCCTGTAAAATTGTCATGCCAGTGAAGAAAACAAGCCTGTCCTTTAGTAATGGAGGAGATTCATCACTCTGCAAGTCTTTTGTGACCAAGAAGGCATTGGATTTGAAATGAGAGGCTCTGTATTTGAATCCTGAGACAAGTACTTATTACCTGTGTAACCTTAGATATACATCAGCCTCTTGGACCTTGATGCCTCCAGGTACAATAAGGGGGATTGAATAATAGATGATTTAAAGTCCCTTACAGTTTTAGACTCTATGATCTTTCCATCACCTCAAAATCCCTCCTCCCCACCGTCCCAGCCCCACAGCATCAAAACCCAAATGTCTTCAGACTATGGGCCTACCTGACTCCCAGGGCCTCTCCCATTCAACAATTTCTAGAAGTGGGTCAGTTTCTCCCCTTCCAATCTTACTGGAGGGGCTGGATCGAGAAAGGGCAGAAAGAATAGCGATGAGGGGGAAGACTTGTTACCTCTAGTTGAAGCTGAGGTAGGAATTTAGGTTGGGCTGACCAGACCCACTTCTGGATTTCAGATATAAGAGGGTCTTGTGCCGAGGAACAGGGAACATTCTTCATTTTTTTTTTCTGTTTGTTTTGTTTTGCTTTGAAAGAAGGGACTCAGGTTGAGGAATTTCTGGGTTAAAAAACGCTTAGCACTGTGCCTGGCACGTAGTAGGAGTTATATAAATGTTTATTCTCTTCCCCTTCCCAAGCCCAGTTTTGGGAAAAGTTTGATTAGGTGGGGGGTGGGAGGGTTGGATTCCTGGATGAAAGAGTGGGAAGGTTCAGTTTTAGGCTGAAGGTATGGGAGGACTGGATTTTAGGATGAGGGGGTGAGAGGCTGGGTTCCAGGATGAAGGGGTGGTCTGAAGCTCCAGGTCTCTTTCAGCCCTCCCTCCCCCACAGCCCTAATCCCAGGCGGAATCCCGGTGGGACAGCGAGTGCGGCGCCCCGCCTTTGGGGGCGGGCCGGGGCGGGGAGGCGGGGACCCCTCCTTTCTCCCCCGTCCCTCTCCTCCTTCTCCTGCTCCCCCTCCCCCTCTCGGGAGTAGGCCGCCCCGGCGCTCGAGGCGTGGAGTGAGTGACGGGCGGCGGGAGGAGAGAGCAAAGAAGGAGAGGAGGAGAGCAGGGGAGGAGAGGAGAGGAGAGGGGAGGGACAGACTTAGCGGGAGGCGGCGGCGGCGGCGAGGACCAGGCCGGGCCATGGCGGAGCGGGAGGCGGCGGCGGCGGCCGGGGCCGGGGCCGGGGCCGGAGCCGGAGCTGGGGCCGGGGCTGCAGTGGCCTCGGGGCCTCAGTGAGCGCAGCGGAGGGGCTTGGGGGGCTCGGGCCTGGGGAGCCATGCCCCGGGGACAGCGCCGTAGCTGCTGCAGCCGGGCCCGGGGCTGAGCGGCTGTCGGGGGGCTCGCAGCCCACACTTGGGGTTCTTCATCCCAGATTAGGGGGTTTTGCTTTTGCTTTTGTGTTTCTTGGCGGGCACGGTCGGGGAAGGCGGAGGTGAGCTGGGTGGGTGGGTGGGGGGGCATGCCCGGCTGGAGCCCGGCCTCGGGGCGCGCCCCGGCCACGGCCGCCGCCCGCACCTCCTCCTCCTCCTCCTTCTCCTCCTCTTCCTCCTCCTCCTCCTCCAGCCCCGCTGCAGCAGCAGCAGCCAACATGGCTGCGCTCTTGAGCCCGGGAGGCGGCCGCCGCTGAGCCCTGCGCCCCTCTCCGCGGCCCCCGGCCCCAGTCCATGGCCCCCCGGGAGCCCAGGCTCCCGCCACACTAGGGCTGCAGCTAAGTCGCCCGCCCGCCCGTCTGCCCGCTCGCCCGCCAGCCTGGGGGGCGCCCCGAGCAGCAGCAGCGGCAACAGCAGCCGCCGCCGCCAAGCGGTCCTGTGCCCAGCCCCGGGCAAGAGGGGTTTATTTGTCTACTCTGGGCGCATCAGCCCCCGGATTAGGGGAGCGCTTGAAGCCCCCCTCCTATAACGCTTTCCTGGGCGAAGGAGGCCTTTGGGGAAGAGGGGCGCGTGGGGAAGCCCACGGGTGAAGCTCCTTGGAGCCATGGAGCCAAAGCACCGGGAGCTGCTTGCTCATTGTCAGCAGAGTCTGGCTCAGGCCATGACTGAAGTGGAAGCCGTCCTGGGCTTGCTGGAGGCGGCCGGAGCCCTGAGTGCCGGCGACCGCAGGCAGCTGGAAGAGGACACAGCTGCGGCTGGAGGGGCTGGGGGCCCCGGCGCCAAGGCAGAGCTGCTGCTCAAGCTCCTGCTCTCTAAGGAGCGAGACCACTTCCAGGACCTTCGGGTGGCCCTGGAGAAGACCCAGCCTCACCTGCTCCCCATCCTTTACCTGAACGGAGTGGCAGGGGCGACTCAGCCCTCGGAGAGTGCAGGTGAGTGCAGGATTCTTTCCTGCTTTGGGTCCGTCTCTCTTCATTTGGGGAACATCTCAAAAGACTTACTTTGTAACCAGAACCAACCTCCTTCCCGTTTCTAAGTTTAATTCTTGAGGTCCCATAGCCTACAGTGGACAGAAGTCCCCTTTCTCTTCCCCCTGCCCAATCTGTATGGGGATCTTGCTTTACCCAGGGTCGATGGGATACCTGAAGCTTTTGGTCTCCCAACCTATCTTGCATTTTCCTTGGGAACAGTGCAGTGGAATCCTGTAAGTAGGTGTGTGTGGGGCTGCCATTGACCTCCTAGAATTCCCATTTAGAATCCCTATGAACTGGGGGAAACCTCAGGAGGCCATCTGGTCCGGCTTCCTGCTTTCACTACTCACAGTGGATGTTGGTTAAGCCTATTTTTAAAGCTCTTTAGGGAATTCCCTTGGGAGACTGTTTCTGTACTTTTCATTTGGATAGTAGAAGCAACCAAGTATTCCTAGGCCCTGGTTGGAATCCCACCAACATCTGCTCCCCCCCATTAGTTGTCTTCTTGGCCTTTCCTCTCTCCTGTCCTCCCAAGATCCAGTCCCAGAGATTAAGCCCTAAGGGGAAATATCCCTCAAGAGGGGAGTGGGTGATGATAAAGTAAGGCCTGTTGGGGACTCTAGAAAAGGATGGAGTAAGAAAAGTTAAAGAAATTGCATCCTATTGTGGGAAAACTGGGGAAGTTGCTGCTGGGGTCCAGCTCTGAGCCTGCATGTGCTTCCCAGAGGAGAGGATTGGATGAAGGTTTTAAGCATTCCTTTGCTTCTCCTCTGGTCCTGCTGCTTCCATTGGTGTGGAGTTTTGCACTTGGGTGAGGGACATCTAGGAATTTCTGAGCAGGGGTTCGGCAGGCTAGAGGCTTTTTTTTGAGGGATGTGCCTGTTGGATGTTAACCAAAACATCTTTTAGAAGGGGAAGCCCGGTGGGAGGAGGCACTTGCCTTGAGGGATCCCCAAAGTGATAAAATCCCAACCTTCTTCCCTGAAGTTGTTTAAATGGCACCTGCTACTGTTTAGCACTTGGGGCATGGCACGGGAGGAGTGGATGCCACCTTTTTAAAGAGCCAGACCCTCCTTTTAGGAGAGAGCTGGGAGAAAGGCCTGAGAAATATGCCCTCAGTGGCTGTGGGGAGACAGATCCAGACCTGTTCATTTGGCCATTAAAAGCCTTGCTTATTAAGACAATCATTTTTATTAGGTGCTTTCCATAACAAGCCAGTGAGGTGTGCATTGGGCTCCTCATTCTTGTTTGGAAAGCTGGAGGAAACTGTGGCTCGGAATGCCCTGGTTGTATAAGAAGCTTGTTGTAGGTTTAGGACCTTGACAGTTTCTCCCTGTCTCCATGCCTCCTCTTCAAAGCTACATTGTAAAGCCCATTCATTGTGTCTGTTACAATGCCCTTGTTTTCTTCCCTCATTGGAAATATTCTTGTGTGGGATATACTTTATGTTTTATGAAGTGCTTCTGCCATGAGCTTGAGAGACAGCATGGTGGAGGAGATGGGAGGTTGGCCCTGGAGTCGGGAAGCCCCGAGTTCAGATTCTGATTCTGGCAGTTTTTGGCTGGGTAACCCTGAGCACATTGTTTTCACCGTTCAGTGCCTCAGGCGACTCTCTAGAATGATAATTACAGTTCGTTTCATTCCCTTCTGCTTTGTTAGAGGGAGTTTTCTTTCTGGGAGTTCCCTACATCTGTGATATCTCAGGTCTGGTTAAGAAAAACATTGGGGGAGGAGTGAAGGACTTTTGAGGATGCAAAAAGTGCCACAATTTGTCTTAATTATGTGGCATTTTCAGCAGACCCAGTTTGTGGGTTAGGTGGTGGGAGAGGAACTGGCCTGATGCTTTGGATTGATCAAAGTTAAACTTATGGGGATAATTTTTTTTAAGCTTAACTATTTTTTTCAGAGTATAGATTCAGGTTTTTAAAGACTTTGACATTAACGATTATACTAGCTGACCTTTATTTATGGGGCTCTATTCTGAGTGAGTAGGTAGAACATGGAATAGAGAGCCAGCCTTAGAGTCAGAAAGGAAGGAAGCAAGTATTTATTAAGTACCTACTATGTGTCAGGCACTGGACTGGGCATTTTTTTTTTAAATATTAATCTCATTTGATCTTAAAACAATCTGGGAGGTTGATGATATTATTATCCCCATTTTATGGTTGAAGAAACTGAGGTAAACAAGTTAAATGACCCTACAGTCACATAGCTAGTTAATAATAGTTGACATTTATATATTACTATGTACCAGGCACTATAGTGCTTTATAAATATTATTTCTATTACCATAACTATTTTTTTTCCAGAGTATAGATTCATGTTTTTAAAAACTTTGACATTAATGATCATACTAGCTGACCTTTATATATAGGATTCTGTTCTGAATGGGTAGGTGGAACATGGAATAGAGGGCTAGCCTGGGAGTCAGGAAGGAAGGAAGCAAGCAAATATTTATTAAGTTCCTACTATGTGTCAGGCATTGGACTAAACATTTTTAATTTTACAAATATTAATCTCATTTGATCTTACAACAATCCTTGGAGGTTGATGCTATTATTATGCCTGTTTTGTAAATGGGGAAACCATTTGTAAGGTTAAGTGACTTGCCCAGGGTCACACAGCTAGGGAGTGTCTGAGGTCATAATTGCTGACTCCAGGCTCTTTATTGTGCTTTATTGTGTGTCACCTAGATGTCTCGGTTCGAGGGCTGACTCTAAAATATAATAACTGTGTGACTGTGGATAAGTCAGCTGACTTCTTGGGATGCCAGGCAACTCTTTAATGCTGTACTTACAGATAGTTGCTTACCTGCATTGAGTTCTCTACATGGATGAAACTGCAAGTTTGCCCCGACTGTTGTTGAAGGTAGGTAGGTCCAGGTATTCTTCCTTTCCCCCCATTTTCCAGTTGAGGAAATGGGGGGTTAGGGAGATTGAGCTGCATCTCTAGTCAGTGTCAGAGGAAGGATTTGAAATCAGGTCTCTACCAACTCCAGATTCACTGCCCTTTCCACCAGGTTAGTGTTAAGAGTGTAGCCTTGCTTTTAGAAGGAAGGCAGTAGGATGTAGTGAAAAGGGCATTGGGTTTGGCATCAGTTCACTTGGGTTCAAGACCTGCATTGGATGCTGGGCTCTGTGACCTTGGTCAAGGCAGAAGATTCTAGATTTAGAGAGTGAAGACCACTTGAGATCATCTCATCTTTAAGTCCCCTCATTAGAAATGAAGTGATTTGGCCAAGGTCACATAGAGGTCGTTATTAGCAGAGAGGCATTGAAGTCTGGGTCCTGTGACCAATTCTAACACTCTCTCCCCCTCCCCCATTCAAAAAGCATTTATTTAGTGCCTAACTTATGTTGGATGCTGTGATTCTCTCAGAGCCTCAGTTATCCACATCTGTAAAATGAGGACAGTAATCCTCCTGGTATCTCCTTCAGAGTGAGACTGAGAATCAAATAAGATCCTTTGTGAAAAGTACTTTGTAAAACTTAAGATGCTCTATAAATGTCCACTATTCTATACCCTAAAGTGCTGTGTAAATGTGTAATTTTATTACTACTATTAATGACAATCTCAAATTAATTTAAAATAATTTTTAAGATGCTTTACTTTTATGTGTTTTATGGGTTGCTGTGGCCAAATAATCCATTCCCTAGGGACCAGCATCTTGGTGATGAGCCTCCCCAAACTTGGTTGGGATGGTCCTCAGATAGCAGACTGTCTGTCGTCAGACTAGGCTTAAAGCCTTTCCAGTGTAGTAGAACCTAACAGAGTTCCTTTGTCATAGCTTGGGAGAACCCAGGGCTAGCTTCACAGGCACTGGGTGAGAACTCCGTGGAGTACCTGAAATAAACATGTTGTTTTCCTTGGATAAATGTCCTATTTGCTTTCTGTGTCTTGGTTAAAGGTGCCTTTAGGGGACAGAAGCTGATCCAGAGATGCAATGGGGTTAAGATATTTATTCTTTAGAACAGGAGTTCTTAACATTTTTTGTGTGAGGGAGGATTCCCTTGGCATTCAGAAGCCTGTCTTAGAGTAATATTTTAAGCACATAGAAGGAAATCCATAGGATCACAAAGGAAAACAAAGATGAATGAAAATAAAGGTAATCCCCCCCCCCCCCCAGTTCCTAGACTATCTGTAGATATAGAGTTCATAGACTATATACAGACCCCAGGCTAAGGATCCCTGTTCTAGAACAATGATTCCCAAACCATGTTTTGTAACATTACAGAGTGAGTCTGGTGCACTGGGAAAAAAAAAATGCTGGGCAGAGAGCGAGGGGACCAGGATCCTAATCTTGGCTCATCTATTTACTTCCTGTGTGACCTTGAGCAAGTCTGTATTTGTGAGGTAATGCAGCAAGTCAGTCCACAAGCATTTAATCGAGGCTTGATATTGATCCAGTTTCCCATATTCATAGTATCACAAATTTAGAATTTGCAAGGTACCTTAGAGACCCCCTGGTCCAACAGTTGAGGAAATTGAGGCCCAGGAGAGGAAGTGAGAATATTGGAGGTGGGGTTTGATTGGGAATCCTTTGTCTCCAAATCTGATGCTCTTTCCATTGTGCCCTGCTGTTCCTGGCCGAAAAGCAAACACTTGAGAAATGCTGTTGAATGAGTGACAGTGGGTAGACCTGTCCACCTGGGGAGGGGTGTCAGTGTTGGGAGAGTGGGTTGGAGAGTGGGGAAAAGTAAGTAAGGTTTGAGAGATGCTGTCCATCGTGCACAGTCTTCAGTGCTGAGAAGCCTGAGTTTTACTAGGATGAGCAACCATAGAGAACAATATTTAATAAAAATTCTGAATTTAAAAACACCAAATCAAATAAATATTTCCATATGCAAAGTAGAATAGAAAAAAGAGGATTGTCCATGATAGCTTGCTTTTCCTTTTAAGCGTCTAACTAATTCAGTATGCCTCTTTCAAAACTGTCTTGTTTGTGTTTCCCTCCTGCCTTT